ATCAAATTAACCTTATGAGTCTGTTGAACTTATGATGTTAAACTGACTTAAAACAGCTTGAGTAACTTCTAAAATTAAGTTAGAACATGATTACTTAGTTTAAAATGTTACAATGAACTAAAAAGGTTTGTTATCATGACTAACATACATTTTTTTCAGTGTACATAAAATCAATCAATGATTTTAAGTAAAATAATTAAGTAAATTATAAATAGGATTAAATACAATTAATTATGTTCTTATTTTAATGATATATTATATATAATGAAAAAATATGACTATAAAAATAATAAACAGTGCTGGGTAGAATACAAATGATAGTCTAACTGATTACAATTACATCATAAAAATTGTTGCAATTAATTACCACAAAAGGTTTTCTAAATACCTAAGAAAATACTTTGATTACTTTTAACATAACTTGATTCACCAGATTCACAATATATTTGGAGGCTGCAAAGAAACATACAATGAAACTACAAAGTAGAATGTTTTAGTAAGGGAAATTACGAGAGAAAAAATGGGGAAATAAATTAATTATGAATAATATACTTTTAATGTAAATTACCAGCAATCATGTAATCCATAAAAAGCAACCCTAAATTATGATCATTTATAACATAATCTAATTGCAAGGTCATTTTGGACTAATCAGTTATACCCAGCAATGAAAATAAATAATAGAAAAACGTAATAAATAAAAAATGTCTAGTTATTAGCCCAGTAATCATGAATGCTTCTTGTAGGTGAGCGATAAAAGGGGTTTCCATGGCAAATTACACATATGAAAGCTTTGCTCCCATGTGCTCTTTGAAACACACACACACACACACACACACACACACACACACACACACACACACACACACACACACACACACACACACACACACACAGCTATGTTGAATAGGCCTCTTTCCCCTTTAAATCTCCGACATTTTGACAGGACACATTAAGATCTGCCTGCTCAGCATGAACACATCATAAAACTGGACAGGCAATTTCTGTTTTCACCAAATAGCCAGGCTAACTCGTTCTGCATCTTTGATTTTAATACACTAGACACGCAGCTTAGCAGCGAGGGAGGGGAAAAATATCTGGCTAGGTATATTTTTCGAGTTATGCCCCTCAACTCCCTCAGATCCATTTTTCCGTTTGAATTATCAACTAGAATTTGATTAATATGCAAATTTGAGGCGAAAAGTCCTGTGTAATTCTTTCAGTGGAGAGTAATTAATCAACAGTTAAAGAAAATTAATACATATATCAATTTTGTCAGGGACACGCTTAGTTCAATCGTCCGTAAAATTGAAGTTTGAAGTATTAAGGGGGTCCCACACAAGCCTTATAACTAAAACACAGGAATTCGCCCCTATTTAGTGATCAATCAAGCTTTCCCTCAGGTTAATCTGCTTAATTTTTCACCTCGAATCATACACTGTTATGACATCTAGTTTCGCATCGAGTCGATGAAAGTTGTTTTTAATGGTAACTGCATCTAAGGAAAATCTATCTATCTATCTATCTATCTATCTATCTATCTATCTATCTATCTATCTATCTATCTATCTATCTATCTATCTATCTATCTATCTATCTATCTATCTATCTATCAGATTTTTTTAAAGCGATTTTCATTTTTAATTAAGGCAGAAAATCGCTGGAATCGCTCCTGTTTTCTAATCAAACAATTAGCCATGAAAAAAGAATTGAGCACAGAGAGAGAGAGAGAGAGAGAGAGAGAGAGAGAGAGAGAGAGAGACGAAAGAAGGAGGGAGGGTGCAAAACCCCATTGTTTCAGCAGGGACTCATGCATCAAACTTCAATTTTCCGGGCGATTGAATTAGAGATTTTTTTCTCTCTCTCTTGAGCTGAAATACACTTAAGACTTTGGGATTAATTACCACGCTATGCTCTTTCAGATTGTAGTATTACTTATCTTTGCCACATTTGACAACACCTCATAAAATAAGGAACTGAACCCCAGCAGCCCGCGCGCCCCTGATATATCGGCGACCCTTATGTATACATTTTACACGTTCTGCCTGTGCAAAAGCATGCAGCACGAAAAAAAGAGAGAAAGATTACCGGTTTAACTTGGCCTCTGGTCTGGTTAAAGAGTCTAAAGTGGTTTTGTTAAACCTCTCATTTCTTAAATGTGTGTTATGGGCTAATCAATAAACGAAATTTATCAAGTTAAAAAGAAATCACACATATGTAGGCTTACTGAAGGAGTGTGGTGCAGCAGAGGCGCATGAGCAGACCGCGCTGGAGACTCTGGCGTCTGCTCATGTTAATGGAGCGGTGACAAATATCACATTGTCCGCATATCAGCTCTGATCCTGCTATTACAGCCGCTTCATGTTGCTTAAAACAGTCTATTCATAGTTGCGACGAAGCTCTTTCATTTTTATGATACTGAGTATTTTGGTTCCAAAACTCAAACAGTGTAAATCACAGATAATAGTAAGTATTTTCATTTCATTCTACTACATCAATCGTGGTGTTAACTTCATGCATTTAAATATTTATTAGACTACTTACATTAAATATTAGTAGATTTAATAACAACAACAACAACATCAATTATAATAATAATAATAAGTATTATTATTATCATTATTACCAATGCTATTATTATTACTACTATGTATTATTACATTATTATTACTACTTTATTATATAAAATATAACACAACGAAAAAAATATTTATATATGTATATACAAAAGTTTAAATAGTAACAAATCAATAACTTTAAATATAAAATAAATCGACATTGAATAAATATATAATCTGAATAACGGTAAATGTTTTATAAAATATGTAATAATAGCAATAATAATAATAATAATAATAATAATAATCATAATTTATTATTGTTTGTGTTAGTAGTAGTGGTAGTGTTATTATTATATAGTGTTATAAAACTAAAGAAAATACGTGAGAACACCTAATCAATAATATAATAAAATATAAAATAAATATACATCCATTTTATTAGAAATGGATTTGAATGTGTAATAATTCTAATCATGAAACACATTTTTTAAATTCTAACAATTATGAAATATTATTATATACAAAATAGCCTATATAATTACATACAATAAATTTATACAATTAAAACTAATAATTACCCTCATATAAATGTGTAATATAAATGGCTTTAACAAAAAGTTTAGCAAAATGCATTTAAACGATGGTCTAAAAAAGTAATTATTCTATAAATAAAATCTGCAAATCCACAAACAATATTACTAGAATAATTAATATAAAATAGTTACATAACAGTTCTAAACTAATAGACAAATAGGCCTAGCTTTGTTACGAGCTGAAAAAGAAAAACAAAACGCCCGGTTATTGGAAATTAAAAAGAAATAAAAAAAAAAATAATATATATATATATATATATATATATATATATATATATATATATATATATATATATATATATATATATACATAAAGCAACAAAAAATATATATATATATTTTGGGGTCATACCCCGTGAGGAATTTAGCTCTAATTCCATCCATAGTGTGACTCCAGCCATATGCTCAGCTTTTTACTTGTAGCCAAAACGTTAACTTTATTATTTTAAGCCAAACACTCAAACAAATAAAGGCAGAAGACAACCTCTTAACAAGAGGAGTCAGTATCATTGTAATTCATAGACTTGTTTAAAACAGCCGAGTGAAAAGAGAGAATAGAGGGGACATTAATAGGCCCAGATGCCCTCGCCCCTGTGCGCATTATTGCCTTTGTGAAAACCGAGCGAAACACTTTAAAAAGAGGGCCAGCTCGATCCATCAAATTGTCTGAAAATTGTGAGGAAAATTCAAAAACCATATGGCCTCCAAACGTTTGTGTCCTTTTTGTTCGGTGGGACACGCTTGTCTCCGTATTGAGAGCCGCGGGAGGCAGAGCATGCTTCATTGTAGCTTGTCACATCAGGGGAGGCTGCTCATTTGTCCCCAGTTTTCACGCCTTACGCTAGAAATGACTGCCTCCCTTCGCTTCGCAGGGAAATAGCGTCTTTCAACCGCAGAGAAACGGGCCAAAAACCCTGCGTTTTTGCCCAGCCTTTATGCGCGCATTCATCAATCCAGATTTCTGTTTCTCACACGCATCCATTGTGGATATTGAAACACAAAAACATGTTATGCCATTCTGAAAATTAAAAGCGTAAAATGTCCAATCCAAAACACACACGCGATGCATGTTTAAAGAGTGTTGGTGCAGGGAATAAAAGTGGGCTACAAACACAAACAAAACTGATTTTTTTTTCTGTTTGTATTGTCTCGATTGCATATTTCGATAAATAAACTAACGTCAAAATTTTAGTGAAAGACGTTTTTATTTCATTTTAAATACATTACACTTTATACACTTGGTTTAAATGGTTTCCTGGCTTAAAAAGGCACTTACAGGCATACAAACCATAAGAAATATATTAAAATGTCACAATCCAGACTTCATCAGACAATCGATTTTTTTCCTGTGATAGCTTTTGTTGGAAATGTTCTATAATACACTTTTATCAAACGGGTTTAGGCTTAATTAATATGGAGCTGCGTGTGTGAATTAAATTGAGGAATATTTTGAGATTAGATCTGCAGCCATTTAAACTCAAATTATTTGGTGTAACAAAATAAAACATGCACTTAACTTACTCAGAACAGGGTAAAAAAAAAAGTTCTGTGTGGGCAATCGTGCTTCAAGTGTATGTGTGTGTGTGTGTTATTATCAATGTACTTATTGCTCTCCAGCTGTTTAAACGAATAGGCTAAATGATTACGATACTGCCACTGCATAAATAGATCTGAAGAAACTGTCCCATGCTTGCGTTGATTTTTTTTCTCCTTTTTTAAATTTGCTTTTAATACAAGTCATTTAATACATTTGGTGCTTTAATGGCACTTTCACCTCTGTGGTTTCCGAGGACCATCTCTGAAAAAAAGGTATATAAATAATACCGATTCTGTTCAAGAAAAAAAATCAGTCATCTACATCAATTTCCTCGTCTTCGTCTTCTGAACACTCTTTGCTCGTTGTGTGGTCTGTATATGGCGATGATGGTGACATGTGGAGTTTGTTGGTGCCCTCGTGCTCGTGATTAGATCGTGACGGAGACACGGCCGATGAATCTCCGAGTGTACCGTTCACACGTTTCTCTAGGTCTGCCAGTTTGGCCATTTTCTCAAAAGGTACATTGCCCACCGCTTTGGCCGACTCCACGTCCGCCTTCATCTCCTCTAGGTCTCTTTTGAGTTTGGCTCGGCGATTCTGGAACCAGGTGATGACTTGAGCATTCGTGAGCCCGAGCTGCTGAGCGATCTGATCTCGATCAGCCGGAGACAGATATTTCTGATAGAGAAATCTCTTCTCAAGTTCGTAGATTTGGTGATTGGTGAAAGCTGTTCTCGACTTTCTCCGTTTTTTAGGGGTATTCCTCTGACCGAAGAGTGTCATGCCGTCTCTCCCTAAAATTAACAAACAAAAATAATGCAGCCACATTAAAACGCAGAACAGCAGAGGCCTGTAAAATTTATCATTGCTATAAATAGAAATATTCTGTTATGATTTTTAAATTATGACGTCTTCATGAGTGTTTATCAATTTAGCTTCAGGTCGAAAAACATAACAGGCCTGCAAAACTACTTTTATTTATTTTTAGCATTTTAATTCTGCACATGGATATTTAACATATTTTAAACATTTATTATAATTGCACATGAACAGAGCTAATCCATTTTATTACCTTTTATTCATTTATTTGGTGCTATTTATTTTACAATTCTGCATATTTAACTATCTTTAATTGCATAGATAGCATTATTTTATTTATGATTACTAATTTATTTGGTACATTATCTTTTTTATTCTAACAGGTAAACATTATTAAACGTATTTCTAATTAAATTAGATAAAGATGCATTTTTATGACAATACATATATTTTAGTAGCATGTTTTATTTTTTTTTAATTTATTTCGCACGAATTAAACATTTCATTTAATGCACCTGCTCCTTTAGTTTTATGTAATACACACGTATTTGGTAGCATATACTGATTGTTCAAACATTTTAATTTCTATCCTTTAAGATTTATATTAGGCTATATTTATATTTTTTAAACATTTATTTTTATTGCACGTGCACAGAAGTAATCCCACATGTATACTTTATTCAAACAACCTTTTAACGAAAAACGAGCGTTTAAAAATGTCAAATATTTTTTTAAGCATTTGTTTTGCTGTAGCAGTTTTTAACGACCGTTTTCACGAATATCTACGAACAGAATTATTTCTAGTATTATCCACCAGCCTGAATACAATTTATGCCCACACCGGGCCTTGTGTTTACCTTCTGCCGCTTGTAAGACACTGACTTCCAGCCCCTTGAAGGTTTTGCTGGCGAGCTCCTCCAGGGCGCACAGTGGAGATGTCTGGGTGAGCAGCGCACGGTTGGAGAGGGGATGGCCCGTGGACGGATGCTTCTCACCGGAAGAAAGCAGGTGCGCCGTGCCGCAAATTGTGTAACTTCGTTTGACAGACGGCTTGTTCAAAATATCCTCTATGCTGAACGGAGTGAGAGGTTTGTTTGAGTTAGCAGGTGGAGGAAGATGGTCCAACGGACTGCGCCTTCGGTCCTCAACCGAGGCGCCTTTCGCGTCTTCTTTGGAGGTCATTATTTGTCTTTTTAGCTTTTGAAAATACGCTACAGTTTTTTTCGATATAATTTCGATTTTGTGCACAGCTTGTTTTGTTTAAAAAATGCTGATAAACAAAGAGCAACTTGAATGAGAAGGTATCCACAATTCCGTAGAATTAGATGTAGCCGATCAGCAGCATGTTGTTGCTTTTGCCGCAGGGGTTGGAGAAGTTTAAGTCTTTCTTTAAAAAAAAGCCTCGTCTGCTGTCCTCAGCTCCTGGATAACAGTTGAGTTTCAGTGAGAAGCAGCCTGACAACCTCTGATGCTTCAGTGGAAACAGTCAGCCTCAAAAGCAGCCAGAATTGACTATTACTAACAAGTTATTCTTGATAGCAAGACAATCAATTACATCCAGTGGCACTTTTCTCTCTCTCTTTCTCTCTCTCTTTCTTTCTCTCTCCCTCTTGCTCTTTGACTATGTTGCAGTCCGATGCAGACTTTAGCAGGAAAGGAGCCCCGTTAATTAGAGGGCATGGCCGGAGGAGGAGCTCAGCCGGATTACAATACTTAACGCTCCCACTCTTTACTACAAATTAATGATTTGTCGATATTCTCTTCGTTATTAGTTACACATTTGTACCACGTTATTTTTATTTATTTTTTTTTATAAACGTGCATTTACATTTCAGAAAAATATTTAAAGCAAAATTAAAACACAGACACTAGCAAGTTTGTAGCTACTGAAAATATTTTGTTATAACAAAATGCGTACTTAAAAAAATTATATACATTTTTGTTTAATACGCTAATTGTGTTGTGGAGTCAGGTAGTATATTATGGCTGATACTTTTGGATAGAATAAAATGTGTGTGTGTGTGTGTGTGTGTGTGTGTGTGTGTGTGTGTGTGTGTGTGTGTGTGTGTGTGTGTGTGTGTGTGTAAAGGAGAGAAAGAAAGGGAGGGAGAAAGAGAGAGAGAGATCGTCCCCTTCAGCTGCACCAAATCTTCTTTGCCATAATTCAAGCGCAAAGGGCCAGCTCACATCAGCAGTAAGATATTTCATCTCTAAAAATCGCCTGCTGTTCAATCCCCGGTATTTGTGGCATTACGGGAACTATTTTTTTCCTTGATTTACGGTGATCAACTTGAACGTGCATAGGATTAGCCAAAAACAACGTAAATAGTTTTAACTTAATTATAATTCATATATTTTTATGATATATGCTATATGCATAACCGGACGAAATTTAAAGCGCGCTTGTATAATTAGTGAATTGATTAAATGGTCTAATGATTGCTTTGCGTTGTTATCGTCGGGCACGAGGCCTCGGTTAAATGGGCAGAAAAAGGCTGAAGCTCCACCGGCGACATCGGATCGGAAAACAGCCGTGTAAGGAGGATAAAGGCTGATCTACAGCACGAGAATAAAGTGCTTTTTGTTGGTTAGTAGATCCACTTGAGAAAGTTGGTATTTGTTCGCATTTATTTAAATCTTCTTAGGTTAAAACATGGGACAAATAAGATGCGTTAAAAACGAATGCATAATACGAATTAGTTTTAAAGTATTTATAATTTGCATAATGTAAATATGTAATAAAGTAAATTATATTTTATGTTGCAGCAAATAACATTTATATAGGCTATAATCACGTTTAAACAGTATCGTGCTATAAATAGCTTTATTAGTTGAAATAAATACCTGTTATAGCAAAACAAGAAAAAGGAAAACAGACCATTTTGCGCACATTCTTTAAACTAATTCATAGTCCACCGAAAATGACAGAAAAGCTTTTTAAAAAAGGATACAGAGGCAGGTGGTTCCGCCTGTGTGACATGATCATTTAGTGTTGCCTACAGTGAGCAAAATGCCTGCGTAAGCAGATATGACGCAATGAAATGCCATGGAAGATACCACTATGAATTCATGCAAATACAAAGTTCATGATTTAATGCTACTACACACACTTCTATATTTATTTAATGACAGCTAAAAATAACAACGATAATAATGATTAAAATATAATGAAATTGTCTAGATTAATATTTAGCATTGGGCACAATATATATATATATATATATATATATATATGTGTGTGTGTGTGTGTGTGTGTGTATGTGTGTGTGTGTGTGTGTGTGTGTGTGTGTGTTTCAATAACCTTTTATCTCTCTTTCTCAATGTTTTTGTAAATAATATAATGACTAGTAATATTTTAAAAATAATAACATTTCTATCATACGTGTATACTACGTTAAGCGTACTGGAATTTGCCACAGGACTTGAATACTGCTGGTTTGATTGTTTCTGTTCATTTGAAAAAAACGCATCATCTAAATCCAAACTTGCTTAGGATTGTCCACGAAAGACAGAATAATAATAAATAAACGAAGTCATTCTTTGTTGTCTATGCGGGGTCTGTGAAGACTCTGCCTGTGTCTAATGACTCAGAGAGATTTGTCACTTACTCCAGTGAACGTCTGTCTGGACAGTTTTATTCCATAATTTATTCTCCGCTTCCGACTGTGAGAGCTCCGATTTCACAGGCAATATCGGATCTTTTCACTAACTTTTATTCACATGACCTTTCTGGGGATTGTAAATGATCTGCCCACACATCTGGTAAGACGGATATATATAATGTTATCATCGGATACTGACTAAACCGAGAGACCCTTTTTCACGTTTCATGAAAAAAGTGAAACTTTTATTAATGTATCACCTTTTTCAATATAAAATATCCTATCTGTTTCGACTCCGTAGAGAACGTTAATCTTTGTTGTAAAATCACTGGCATAAAACATACTAATAATAATAATAACAACAACAACAACAACAACACCAATAACAACAACACCAACAACAACAACAACAACAACAATAACAGCCTTGATAGAAATATATTAAATCTGATAGAAAAATGTAAACATTTTTTAATTTAAAATGATTCTACCTTTTTCTTTTTCTTTTTTCAAAATGTCACATAGTATACCAATTTTTTTTAAATCTATGTCCCACAGCATACAGTATGATAAACAAAACTCATTTTAAAGATTAATTGCTTATTGCATGCTCAGAAAAACTTTGAGAAAGGTAGTTTCTTAAAAAAAAGGAGAAATATAGAGTCAATTGTTATTTCGCTATAAAAATGTAGCAACCTCACAAGTGTTGAATTAGTTTCAAACTTGCATCACATAAATAAAGAAAAAATAAGGCGAGTTTCAAATCACAAGTGTGGGCAAATAAAGCACATTTTTAGGTCACACAACAGAATGGTCTGTCATGGTTGAGATGTTTCATTTTTTTGTATGCCTAAACACTTTGTAAGCATTTAACATGGTCAAACTCTTGATTTATTTATATTAAACATCCCCAACAATAATTCATCTGACATAAAAGTGTTGTTACACGCATCTTGTTTGTAGTGAGAATAAAAGCAGTTTTACTACATGGACAACAACAGACCTCAAGACCAAATATATTCAAAGTGACAGTCTGGAAGTAAAAGAAATATATCTCAATACTTGAGATCAACAGCATACCGTTTCATAATGTGTGGAAAGATGAGGCATGTGCATTAATCATGCTAACCAGGCCCTATATCTATTATTATCAACAGTAGCCTGGACTGTTGCCCAACAAAGGTGGATTAACATTTGGCAAGCATAGCTTTAGCACCAAATGCCCTGTCATCTTAATGTAAATTATCAAATGATAAAAAAATACAAGGTCAGTGGAACGTGATTAAGATATTTCTCTTAAGATACAGTCTCTCCTAATTCCTATCTGACACAATTTTGATGGTCAAAAATTAACAGCAAATCATTGTTACAGCAGAAACATTCATGAACAGAAATTAGAAACTAATAATCAACAAAAAACCTAATAATCACGCGCAACTCAACACGAATGGATGTGTTTATTACCTCACGACAGCACTGTTTCTTGGATGACGTCCATATCATGCTCCAAACACCAATGATGACCCTTGTTTTTTTTCCCATGCCCTCTTCGGCACTACAGAGTAATGTAACACTAGCCTGAGATGCTCTATGGCTCTCAGTGGCTCCAGTGAAAATAATTCTGGCTGCTTAATCTGCAGGGCGGCAGCAGAGCACACAGGCCTCCACATCAATTAAGTGAGTAATAGATGTGGAGCTGGCACAGGATCTGGGTGACATTAGAGCTGATGGCTTGCAGAAAAACAAGTGCAGAGTCAAGGCCTGCGTGAGGTCCATTTGGAAGGAGGATGCATGTTCCCGCTAAAACTAGAGTAACCGTGAGGGGGGTAGTGGGTATCGAGAGTGAGGCATGAACGCACTCAGTCTAGTGACATTTCAGTCTAATTGCAGAACCGGGCTTTGACTGTTAAGAGCAAATGAGTGAGGATTAAGTGCAGAGCCACGCTTAAAAGGACCCATCATTACTTAAAGGGTAAGAACAGAGGAGCAGGGAAACCTCAAGTAGAACCAATAATATTATTGACCTCAGACATGATATCTATGTCAAATATAACTTCCCGAATTAATCATGTTTGATTATGGATCTTTGGCACTGTGCCAACTATGAAGTCAAAAATATATAAAAGCAAGGACATCATATAGAGCAGGGGTTCTCAAACTTTTCAGCCGCGACCTCCAAAATAACAATGCGACTCACGACCCCCACATTTCTTACAGGTGGTTATAAATAAACATTTGTGCACACAACAATAGGCCTATAGACTATTTAGAGGGATGTAAACAAAAACAATGGTCCCATGGTATTTCCTGTTTCACATTTTTAGTTGCTATAGCTTCCGAGAATCCAATACATTTTACATTTAGTCTTTTAGTCAATAAGAGCCACATATTGATAAATAATGTTATGATAGCTGTTTTGACATTATGTTATGATTCAATTGCCTCTTGTTAGTTATAAAATGTCCATGACCTAATGACATCACCACATTGAAATGGCCTATATAAACATGCGCATATTGACAACACAAAAAGTGCAACAGTTTAATAATCATGTATATTTTTGTAGTCAAAAATTAATTT